GACCATGTTCTTGGAAAACGATCTTTCTTACATGCGAGGACCATCATGACACCATACCAACAAAATTTATTTTCTTAAACTCACATGTAACCATTTAGTGCAATTATGGAAAAGCCATAGATGAATGGAAATGATGATTATTGATTGGCAAGAAAGTGCTACATGAAAGACAACATATGCAGTCAAACCTGCAAGATTGAATGCATTCCACATTATCTCTTCATGTTCAGCAATGCCAAAGAGGCACAACGTTGCTGCTTCAACACCAAATACTTTCCATAATAGCTTCCCCGTATTGTTCTGCCGCAAGAAGTCCTGCCAAAAGATACAAAGGCTCCTTCACCAGTCTTTGATGAATGTCATATAATCAGGACAAACAAAAAAGACTGAGAAAGCACATCTTCATCCCAAAAGCCATAGAAGAGAAAAGAAAAGAGAATGTTTAAGGTAGGCTCAAACCTTGGGATGCATATACAACCAGAATCTTATTGGATACCTAAGAGGATACAGTGCAACTCGAGAACACATACAATCCTCCATGGGAAGCCAGCACTAGGAAATACAAAAGAAGACATATAATAGTTACAAATGGAGTTAATATTTATCCAAGTAAAAGAGAATCAACTCACGGGCATTACAGAAAAAATCTCTCATTGAAGGAAATCATTGAACTGTATGCATGTGGAATACATAAAGAGACATAAAACATCGAAATAATATAAAAATCAAACAATATACCTTCTGACAAAGGTAACCCCTACTTCCCAGTAACCGGCATGCTATTTGCCGAGCGGAAAAGAATTGGAGTTTTTTCTCAGAATCACCTAAGGATTCATACTTTTTCCTGTGCTTTTTATCCTCCTGCACTTTGAAGTCACCCTGGAGATCATGCAGATAATTAGATATAGATATATTTAGTGCTGGACATGGTCTGGTTAGGCTCTAAAGAGAATTGAATCGAAAAAGAACTTTTGGGTATTTAGTAAGTAGAACTATCGGGTTTAAATTTAATTATGAAACCATTCGATTCAATTACATTCAGTTTGGTTCGATTCAGTTCGATTCCACACTATAATTAAATTTTTTAACATTTAAAATAACCAGGGGTTAATCCAAGAGTTTGAGTCAGTACGGGCGGCCATTGATCATCTACCGTTGGCCTCAATAAAATATTAAGAGTCCATTTGATACTCATTTTTTGCAAAAAAAATGCATTTTGAAATAGTAATTTGATGGAGAATGT